AATTGGTTCCGCTTTTGAGTAAACAGGTATAACACTCACGTTGTGCGGCATAGGAGCTCGAGTGACCTCCATGACGTTCAGGTTGTTGAAATCCGCTAGTGAGTCGAAGTGCATTTCGGGAATCCACAACTACAACACCTAACTGCTGCTCATCACCACCAGCATTTGCCACGGTGACTCGTCGCACACTTGATGTTTCACCCCTAACGGGAGTTTTAGAAGTTCTAAAATGGGAAGAAATAGAGCAGTACATTAAACAAGTGAACAACTGTGCTTGGAAAAGAAACGTTTCAGAAGAAAATTGGCTACGATAAAATCCACGCCGATTCATTCCTAACTTTATCCCACAGTCAATCTGGGAAAACGTTGAACGAATCCGCTGCGATTTCAAGACATCTGGAACCCCTTTCTTCTTGCTTATGTCTACTTTGTTGCAAAACTGAGCAGATGCAGAAAAGATATGCTTAAGGCAGCGTTCAGACTTCACGACGGCCGCGCTTTGGTTGCGCGTTTGACGCGATCAATAAAGTCGAAAGCTTGCGCAAAGGATTGCAACCGCGCGACCGAAGCGTGCCGTCGCAAAGTCTGAGCGCTGCTTAATGAAGCTTCAGAAGTCTTTTACAGAAAACCATCAAGCGTGGGCTGAAGGAAAAAAAAACAGATTTTTTGTGAGCATTTTCGCGAGTTCAAAAGAAGAAACCAGGATTTTAGTGACGAGCCACCATGAGTAAGTTCGTAGGAAATAGATCAGTTGATTAAGCTGTCATCAACAAAATCTAGGAAACCGACGAGGAATCCTCATGTGAACGGCATACGGCCGAAATGTATTTACCTTCGGGTGAAAAAAGCCTTTCGATTAGTAATATTGTTCTTTGTTCCAATAAAGGTGATAAGGAGAAAAACTCCCTTACCAACCTCTCTTTCTGAAGTGTTCATGAAATAATGTTGCTTGGAGTGTAATTAAGTTAGCGGTAGACAGAAATACACCCATGGAGGATATCGCCAAGGTTTATTCTGCCCAGAAGGGGAAGGGAAGACACATGAAAGACCCGCGGCCTAATAATCTTGAAACGCTTCTTTATAAACCAGTTCCTCACAATTGCCTTCACCGCCAAGGGTGAAGACATCCACCATGGTATACGAGCTCATGACGGTCCTCATTATTCGCTGTAGCCTAAAGCGGCAGCGTAATTTTTGAGCTTGAGTCAGTCGCGTGCAGATTCCTGGACCTCCTTCGACAGTGTACGACACCAGCCACTACCCATGGGTAGACCGTGAAGGTTATGTTCGGTAGTCAAACGTTGTGTGACCCAAGCTCCGGCGATTTGACGAAAACACCAGTTACGTTGCCCGTTAGACGTAGTGCGATCACCTGTTCCGCCTCCACACACGCTCTGGCAAGGATTCAGTCGAAAACGTAGGCTGCTCTGATAGATATGTCACCTAACAACCTCGTAAAGCGCAAGGCATCTGAAACACACCCAGCTAATGGCGAGGTTCCAAGAAAAGTTGGAATGCTTCCGATTCAAGGTCTGTTGTGTCACCGTTGCCGAATCGTCCTTCTTCGAGCGCATAAAAAGGATTTTCTGATAGACACAGTGATGAAGAATGAAAGTTGCTTCCTGTACGCCATAGATGCGAGCGAAAGCAGGACGCTCCCGCAAAACGAAAGGCCATAAAAGAATTCGGAGCTCAGTTCTTAAGTGTTAATCATAACGATTTCTTCTTCTTGGAAAAGAAGCGTTTTCAGCGATTTCGGAGAAATTATGATGTGTAACGTTCCACTAGGACTCTCTGAAAACTGGCACTTTCGTAAAGTAGATGAAGTGCTCCAAAGAACTACGGCGAATAGCTGCAGTAGTTCCCTCCCCCCCCCCCCCACAATTACCGAAAACGACAAGACATGTTTCTCCCAAGCGATGCTCGTCTTTTTTTTGCAATGATGACTCGGCAAAAATAGAGGAGCTTGTCTGACAAGTGTCGCCTCGTACCCTGTGCTCGGACCTGGTACCTTCTGACTACAATCTCCAATCGCTGAAGTAATACCAACTCATTACCAACCTCTCTAAACGAAGGAAATGAATTTTAGATCTTTGGTCTGCGAATTTCTGAAGAATTCGAATCGATAAGCTGCCTGTAGAAAAGAAGAGGCTCAGCGATGGCAACTAACATTACCGATGACTCACGCCGTACTTCAACTAATAGAAAAATTGGCACCAAAAAATGACCGCTTTGTGAAGCGGGACAATCTGTTCAACCAAACTGTGGACTTAATAAAATCCTTGAAATTGAAATTAATGGACTATGTTGTAAAATCTAATAAATGAGAATTATTGAGGGGGGTCGAAAGCAAAGAGATAGCTCAGCTTCCGTTTCGCACGTGCCCTTAGACGGAAGCCGAGCAAAAGCATATTCCTCCTTCCGTGCTCCTCAGTAAGGAAAGGAAGAAAAAAATCATTGCAGAAAGTTTATAAGGAACAAAGTTGAAAACGATAAAGATTGAGAAGTTTAAGAATGCAAATTAATTGGATTACGTGAGTAAGATATCGTGATTACGAAAAACAGACTAGCAGCGTTACATTATAACTTTCCAAAAATACTATACGACACATGCAGTTAAAAGAAATTGAGATGCGTAGACCAATGTAAATGAAAACGCCACTGAGAATACCTCGGACTAATCTGCTTATGCTCCCGTAATCATTTGCAAAGTATTTGTAACATATCACTTTATATCTTTAAATATTCTTAACTATACTATCCATAATTGACATTGACATTAGCATTAACTAACATTAAACTTGACGGGGTGATTGGAGAGTACTGATAAGTATACACTTAAGTCAGTGCATAATTATCACTACTATCCAATCGCTCCGTCGATGCGCAAGAAATGTCCCTGTTAATAGAACCCTCTTACTTTAAAGTAAGGCCCCTACAGTTGCCTGGAGACTTGCTTTGAGACAAAAGGAAACACGTGGATTCAACTCATGGATAACGTTTGCACAAAAAAACTTTCATTGTTCGAAAACGTACCCTTGAACCACTTTTACAAATCGATGACCGTCTCGCTGAAGCACTACCCGCTGTCCTTTTCTGAAAATAATGGGTTTTATCACGGGAAAAATATTATACTAATGATACAATTAATTCATTGAGTAAATATGTCCAGAGAAGGGGCACAAAAAAACTTTTTTTCCTCGACTTTAAAAGTGAAGTAAGTTACACTTTGTTAAACTTTGATTGGACATTTCCACCTCCGCTGCCCGAATACTACGAGGTCGCTGATTTCTCTGCCACTGTAGACCACCCTGTTGAGCTCCGCCCGGACCCGGTAATTGAGGGGGTTCAGGTCAGGTGACCTGCTTAGATATTCCATCTTCTTCAGGTACTCAACGCCCTTCATTTCAAGTAGGCGAGTGTTTTTACATTCCATGTTCTGGCACCCAATCCTGTAGCAGTGGAAGTTTCCAAGACGGTGCAGGCAGCGACATGAAGGCATACTGGTAGATTAGGATATAGGATACCCATAGGATATCCTGCTCGATCTGTTTGATGTGACACTCAGCAGTACTTTCAGTACAGGGTCCACGAAGACAATATCGGTCTTCCCACAGGAATTTTCAGCCTATACCATCAACACGCGCCCTTGCACAGAAGATGATATCCTGGACCACACCGATGTTGCTGGAACTGCTCGTGGAGGTCTTCCTGATCAAGAGTGCTGGTACCCAGGTAGCTGTCCATGGGTGACTCCATACAAGAAGTTTCGCAGCTGTTTGGAGGTGACGTGAATTCCAAAGGTCTTCTCCAGTCAGGCTGCGATTGGAGATGACTTCATATTTTGGTGTACATGAAGGTGATGGACGAGAGCCTCTTCTGCTCAACGAGAAACAATGAGAACCTTTCGCCCGGTACTCGTATCCACGTCTTCTCGCTGGGCTGCGTATGTGCCTCGGGCAAAGTGACTTTTTTGCCCCCTCCCCTCCTACATATGAGGGAGCACGTAAACAAAACAGTGAACAACAAAAAAGCAAAAAAATCCCGTAATACAACTATTTAATACTTATGACATACTCCAGAAATTCCGCGCGTGACGTAGCATCGTTTGCTACCAAATCATCGCCAATCAGTCCGCCATTCCACCCATCTCCAGCTCGTTCCACAATCCGCCTCACTTCCTCATTGGTACTGCTAGCGGCCGAGTCGCGCGACGCATGTCGACTTCGTTTTTCGTTCGAATCTTCCTGCAGTATGAACGAGATTATCGCAAGAAAGATTACAGTTTTCTCACGACTGCGGTGAAACCAGATGACTAACTGCTTACCTCATTATCACCCGCAGAATAAGTTAAAACTGAGTGTTTCGAATCAGCATTCACACCAACTGTAACAACAGCGCCAACTTGGGGAATAGAAGCCGCTGATCGTAATGATCCGCCAGATGTAGTCGCTGATGTTAAGTGGCCTGCAAAGTCCTGCTAAGTCAAATTTTTATAGGGATATTTAAAAACTTACATTCAGACTCCGCAAGCGCTTTAATAGCTGCCATTGCACTGGCAGGTGGAGAAGATGGAAGACTTCCGTCTAGAGGTGAATTGTTCGACGACAGCGCAGATATCCATGATGTTCGGTCATTCTTTCGCAAGATGGCAGGAGCGACCGTTCGACCGTTCAAGGCGGAACAAGTAACGATAGATGCTTAAACAGAGAAACAAGTCCATGAGTCAGAACCAAAACCATTATATTTGTGAAACAGGGACGCTGGGTTGAAGGGGTCATATTAATTTTTTTAAACCATTGAAAGTTGCCAGTGAAAGGCCTCAAAACGCATTCAAAAAGGTCCACCCCAATTAGCTTCAAATTGTTGGCAGTGTGAGGGTACAGCCAGGTAGGTCAAACGTAACATTACCCAATGAAACTTCTTCCTCGAAGAAAATAGCTGCAGATAAAAAAACTTACGTTTTGTTAACGACTTAAGTTCGTACGCCGAGAAGACTCCGGTACCCCAGATCCCTTCAGGACTCATATCTCCCATTAAGATATCCACTGAAAAATGCAATGAACACTAAGGGAAAAAAATCCTTACGAGACAATAAGAAAGAAAACATTTCATCGATAAAAAACTTTGCCTAAAAGGCATGGGCTGACCACATTCGTTCACCACTGTGATATAGTACCTTACTCCCACACTCTAAATTCCCTTCCTTCAAACGAATTTCTTGAACTAAATACTCTGCAGGGCCTACAAAGGCTTCGCACACAGCCGCTTTGAAATTTCTCTAAACAAATTTCGTAAAATGCTGGACTATTAGATTGTAAAATGCGACTTCGTTTACGACTCTTGAAGTGGCATTCAAAACGCGCCTGTACTGAAACGATACCCCTAAAATGTGTCTAAGGCGGTACGCCCGAACTGGACGATGGCGTTCGGCCAATATGACAAGGCAAATGCAGGAGGGTTTAACATCTTGGATGGTTAACTTTCCGCGAGTGCGCTCTTCGTCCAACTTATGAACGGTTCTGTGCATGCGAAAAGGGTAAGCCATAATTATAGCTGCAGAATCACCCCGCCGGCCTACAGGTGGACCTAGCGAAGACGATTTCATGAAAAATGGCCTGATTTCTGAACCTATTCATTCAAGCTCATTGAGGAGAAAAAATTCAAACTCTACTAAACGGTCTGATGATAATATATATCGTCAGGTCGATATTATGAATGAGCTAGTGCAAATGGTGAGGAGAAAGCAAGTGACTTGGATAACCCGAGCACCGCGGAAGTAGTGAATGCAGTGAACACCGGCTATGGGTCCATCTCGATTCTATCGACCTCTTTGCTTTCTCGTATACCTCATGAATGCTGGGCTTTCCGTGAGAAAGTGGAATGAATCTCTCGCGTTAACCAGCGCACTAGCGCTCTATCCATAATACCATCCCTGAGATCTTCACACTCAGCAACGGTGAGCTTCGTCAGCTGTCACGGATCAGGTCATACACTCTCGAACCTTCTATCGCCGAGCTGGAGATTAGTTGATCCAGTGAAACTGATAGAAATGATCACCCCCTGGCGTTTTTTTTTGTTGTTGAAGTGGATGACTTCGAAAATCCATGTGACATACATTCCTGGTTGGATAATCAGTGACCGACGTGGACTCATTTAGGGTCTAAAAGGCGAATCCTCGGAACATTATTATTAAGGGCTACTAGAAACTGGCCGGTTCTCCCCATCCAAGCAAAGAACTCATGAGCATACCACTTCTCTTCATAGAAAGAGGGAAATCTATCCTTCTCAGCCCCGTCAGAGTACTCGAATTATGTAATGATACAACTCTACAACTCACGCTCTACTCTAGTGAGTGAACCATAAAAGATAATTTTCTCGAAAATTCGAAAACCGTACTCAAATGTAACTCAACAATCACCTTTCTTCTCATCCATTTTCTCATCCTGTGCCTCTTTTTCGTCAGGATTACCGGTACGAATGAAGTTTGCAAGAAATAAGTCCAATTCGCGTACAGCTATAGAAATATGGTATGGGTTCACACAGACCGCAGGAAAAACGCATTCGGCGCATTTTTCCAGTCGCTCGCTATCCGTGCTTTCCAATGGAATGCCCTGAAACTCAACTCGTAGTACAACTACGAAACCGTCAGCAAGTTTAGTTCCTTTTACCATTTGCGTAGGGGATTATAAGTGAGAACAGCCACTATTTTCCATGTGTCCCGCTTGATAAGAGTTTCGTCGAAGGAGTGTAGCAGTCAGTTATCGTTTATTAATGGCTTACCTTGAAAAGAATGACCATGACCAAGTCTAACCGCCACACTTTATCGGCTTGTCTCAAACAATCGATACGGCGCATTTTCCCTTTCTGGTCCGGATTAGACAAAACGCACACGGCTGGCTGTTGTCCCGTAACCTGCGAGCAACATAAGCAGATAATGATGGAAGCAAAAAAAAAGAGGAAAATGGCATACCGAAGAGACAAAATCGTTCCTATATTCAGGTTGAATATCCTTCCGGAGCTTCCCTAACAACCGCGCTGCCCATTTCTGCTTTAATTCCGCTCGTTCGTTCTACAAGCAATAAACTAGCTACAACCTCACTGACTCAATAAACCCCTTGCATCTGCAGGATTTCATCACACAACAAAATGCAAGACGAAAAAGTGAGAAAAAGTATCATTTCAAAGCCTGGAAATACCATGAGTTCATCTTTGACACCCGTTTCTTCTTCTAACGTCATTCGTTTTTCATGACGTTTAAAATAGCGACGCTTTGCGGCTTGTAAATTGAACCACACATATGAGAAATCTTTCACATACGGCAGCAGAGCTTCAACAAATGGGTGATATTCGTCCTGAAACGAAATACAGCCCTTATATTCATACAAACCAAATCTTACTTCAAGTGATGAAACTGTTCTGGTCGAGATGAAATGAAAATTCTTACCACTCCACTTGGACTGAACTGATTAGTCCAATCTGCTGAAGGTGGAGGCATCGAACTTCGAGTGAGCTGCTTCACAGTTGATACAACGCCGACCTCTTGCCCCGGAGAGGCATCAATATCCACCTTAAATTTTGGTGAATTCAGAAATCAAATATGCACTCGAAATGGGTGTTGAATTCAGAAATAAACGACAACGGATTTGGCGAAGTCTGCATTCACAACTTGTAACCCATATGGTAATGGTAAGATCAGATGGTAATGGTAAGATGGTAAGATCACAGAAGTGGAAGGAAGCGGAATGAAAGACTCCACCAAAAAGATTATACTCGCATCGGTGGTTCTCAACAAAAAATCTATCTGTGTATAAAATCGCCCTCTCCCCCGTCAGTCACACAGCCTCGTTGCCGAGTACTCCCGACTTACTGTCACTCGACGCCGGTCCCCGAGCACCTCTGTCTCAAATCGCTCTCGCATCTAGCAATACTGAATGAAATCGCAAAGGAAGGAGGAGAAAAATTAGCGAAAACACTGGAGCAAAACAAAACAAAACGTAACAATAAGTAACTTTCGAAAACTGCGCATGAAATTGGGATTACGGTAAGCAGTGCACGTCGAGCTTTTGCACCAACCATTTGCATCATTGGTGATTTGAACACGTCTTACCTTGCGAGATGGATTGCTGTTGACTGTATGTGCTCCTAATGAGCAAAAAAATGATAAAGAGGGCAGAATTACTTATGAGCACGAGCGTGGTCGGCAAAAATAGACACGCAATTCGGATGTATGCCTACCGCTCCAACGAACAACAACTGAGTGCATCTGCGTTAGGTGAGAAAAGGACCTTATGAATGGGTGTCAGATTTGGAACATGTGACGGCTGTAGCATCTACTCACTCGCTGTGGTGTCGCGAAAGTGGGAAAATCTCTAAAAGTGGAGGCTGGACAACCTGCATAAGGAAAGGAGACCACGAACAGCTTGAGAGCGGGGTCAGTCTTCAGATTCCATTGGCCTAGTCTACCTTTCACTCCCCTGTGAAGCCCGAGACCCTTGACTCAAGCTTGAAAAGCCACTATTAGGAACTAAAACTACGCCCCACTACTAAAATCAGAGCGTTCCTGGGAAATGGCCTTAAGTAAGATAAACAGATCTGCTGATTGACATGGGGATGTACAAACCGGAGATGGGGACATTCAAAGGGGCGCCCCCGTTTATTAGATGTCTGGGCGTCATCTTTGGACATGGTAGTACTGTCTGCAAGCATGGAGGATATACTACTTTAGCAAGCAAAAGATATGTAAGAAAAGCGCCGCTTGCTCGCGACAGAAAAGTGGCCCCGCCCACTGATCACGGTGACGCCCAACTTCCAGTTTTACTGCTACCTGATGGTGCCGTTGTTACGCTAATAACTCCCTCCATTCAAAAGGGTGAGTGAGGTAATAAGGAGAAAGTGCTGGCACCAACAGGTGAGAATGTCCGAGCACGGAGGTTCTGTATGGGGCGATTCCGTCGGATCTCTACCACTTTTTCCTTTACGGCTGAACCACCTACTACCTTTTTATTGGTGTTTTAACCGCACAATTCCCCAATTTCAGGCCTGAGTCGTGCCTTTAAAGGAGCGGCAGCTGCGGGGCAAATGTAATTGTCTTTAAAGAACGCAAGAGTAGTATGACAGCTGCCGTAAAGAAAATATCCTACGAAAAACGTATATTAAGCCATGTGTAGGTGAAGTACACAGTCAAGCCCTCAGCCCTCGGCAGTATGAAGTATGTGCATTTCTATTTTCAAGGGTTTTGATTTCACGTTTTCAATGCGGTTTGAGGCAATAAGCTTGCTTGCCTGACCTATTTTGCTGACAACTATGGGCGTGAACTGTTTGAGTCAGCTGTTGCTGTTGTTCTACATAAATGATGGGAAACTTTAGGCGAGGTCTAACTTGCCAGAAGCCCCGGAATGGATTCGTTCGTAGTGGGTCACGTTGTCAGCAAGCCCTACCCTGTCTTTCGTTCAGTACCAAGGAATCTGTCTTGTTTCAAAAATTCATCATATCTCATCTAATCTGAGCGATGAACAGAGCGAAGCAGCGTTTTCGTAATGTCATACAGATGGGTCCCTGCCCCGATTCCTTTCCATGACTCTGAGAGCTTGTTAGTTTTTACCAGTATCTTATGCCTTTTTTCGAGTTCTCTACTCATTTTTGATTGGGCCACTCAGCGAAGAACTCTCAGTATCGAGTGCGTTTAAAAGAAAGAATGAATCTTCAACAGGGTGAGTGCACTTCTACCGCGCAACCTACTTAACTCTTCCTCAAATCAGAACCACAGCTCCTAATTTTTCTACCCTCGCTCTTTGTAGCGATCAGCGTTTTAAACACATTCAATGATTTTATTTCACTGCTACTTGCTAGAACCGGCGTTGGCCCGCTTTGGAGGTGGAGGTACATTTGTAAACGCCTGTAAACTGTGAAGTTAGTTTCACAAGAATGCTGTGTTATGCGTACAAATGGGAGTGTAATGATAACACAGACGACCGGGAGCGGGAATGTGTCTCTCGAGTCTCGCCTGAGATCCGACATTTGCCCAAATCAGCATTTTTGTGATGACTTTCAACCGAGTAGTCGATCGGACGGTGATACTATTCTTGGCCATTCACTGGATATAAAGAACTCACATGGAACCAGTAAACTTATTTCTTGCGCAGCCTCAACACGGAGCTAACAAAATAGCCTAGGAAGAGTGGGAAGACTATGTGGGGAATGACTCCGGGTAAAAGGAATTACTCATCACAAAGTAACAAAACCGCTTTTTGCACAGAGCAAATGGTTCACTCACTGTGGAGCTCCTTTTCCTTGGACCTAGGGGAAAAAACTTCGTGCTCAGCTCGCGATCGATTCTTCGCACCTTTCAGTATTGAATGCCGTCCAACATACAAAAAATTCACAAAAAAAACTGGCGCAGAAATGATGCTTGCAATGTTTCGCAGCTTTACGAGAACTCGCAAGACTTTACAGAACTGCCCCATATGTCCGCATGAGTTCGCAAAATGCCCCTTCAAGTACAATTGCGCGCTATGACCTCTGAAATCTTGCGATTACAGGTTTCAGCAGCAGTATGGGTTGCTGAGCGAGAGAACGATGCGAATATTGCTGATGAATTGCAATTACAACAGTACCACGAATCATGGGCGTTGAGAATAAACATCACAAACCTCAAGATGCTGATCCATAGCTGAGCTAAAGGAATGGCGCTGTGAAATCCACACAGTACAAGAGCGTCGTCAGTGTCGCAGTTGGAATTTAGCACGACTTCAAATCACCATCTAAATCGATTCACAAATCAGACTTGATAGAGAATGTTCTCAACTAACCAGTCAACAAGGCATGTCCGTAGACTCGCGTGAGACTAAAACACCACACTAGAGAAACGGTCGAACAACTGAAGAAATAACGATTAGGAATTCCAGCTAAACGGTGAAAAAACCGCTCAAAGGTGGTCCTCACAGACAACGACAGTTAAAAAGCTCGCCTAACTCTACCAATATCGTTAGGAACAATCTCAACAAACGGGTCGATACACCATAACCTGCAAGTAAAACCGATCAATACTTTTCAGTGCCTGTCGTTTTTTCGCGCTATTAACCACATTTGCAAGGTAGGAAGAGTTCCTTCCAATTTAACATCCACCAAATTATTAGCTCAGATATATATATCCTAGAAATTATTAGTGCACTTATATTCCCTAGAAAACTAGAAGTCATTCACAATCGCCGAAGACCGTTTCGAATTCACAGAAATGTTGAACTGTTGAAAAGAGCGAAGTTGTGTCCCATCTACCCCTACATAGCAACTTCTATTCTACATTATTACAGCGAGAACACAAACCGTTATCTTTTGCAGGTACAGTAAAATTGGGAGAGAGCCAAGAAAAACTTGGCAAACAGCCCGAGTTTTCCAATGTTCACCTGCACATCTACGTTGCGACTAGTAGCCCGCCATATTTGAATGGGGG